GGCTGGAAGCAAGGATGCAAACTGTGCAACGAGCTCGCCAGTTCTCCGCAACCGGGGCAGACGCATTCCAGCTTCCCGCATGGGAATCTGCAAAACTCCCCGGAGGGCACATGGGTGGATCAAGCAGAAAAGCACCCTGCAAGGCAGGGCAAAAAAACACACATTTTGGGGCAGGAGGGCAGAGGCTGCTTGCCCAGCTGGTTGGGGTGGCAGCGCGTGGAGCGAAGGGGGTTTTGAGGAAGGTTTCTAATGGGAACAGAGGGCAGGGAGCTAAAAAAAAGAGGAAAATGGCAGCAAATCAAATCCCGTGCAGATCTGCAGTATCTAGGTTACCTTAATTATGCTCAGCTAAATATGGATGCCAATTAATTAGATGGCTGCTGATTTCCAGAGAAAATTAGTTTACTCTTAATGAGCTAATCAGTTCCTACTTAAAAAAAAAAAAAAAAAAAAAAAAAAAAAATTTTTAAATTGGGCGGGGGGGCGGGAAGCCCCGACACAGGCTGCCAAGGTCTACTCCGAGTGGGATATATTGGGCAGCAACATCTCCGTGCCCAGTCTGACAGCAGATTTCCACCCAGACAATCCCATTGGAGCAGCTCCGGGTGCCTTCCACTCCTGTTCCCCTGGGATTCTGCTGTTTTTGCCGGGAAAAGAAGAATCCGGGGGCAGTGGCAGGTGCAGTGGGGTTGGGAGCACTGGTGAGTATGGGCTCCTGCACTGCTGAGGACGGAAATCCGGGGAAAAGAGGCATGGATGCACTCCGATCGCTGAGACAAAGCTGCTGGTTTTTGGAATACTAACAGGAGTCAAGCTGTGCATTGCAATTAAACCACTGATTACAAAGAAATCCCAAACTCGGCTCGTTTTCCTCCCAAAGCCCCACGGGTGGCTGCGAGCCCTCCCTTCCCGACGAGAAAGCCCCGTGCAGCGGGAACGGCGCCGTATCCCGTACCTGCTCCAGCGGGATGACGAGGAAGGAGCCGCCGCCGGCGCTCTCGGTGACGATGGCCAGGAAGCGGGCGTTGACGGCGCAGAAGTGGTTGTCGTGCACGTTCTTGGTGATGGGGATGCCGTCGAAGCAGTGCTCCCGGTTCGCCACCTTGCCGTAGACGTTGCGGAACTTGGAGCTGCGGTACTGCGGGCGCCATGACATCTGCGGGGAGCAGGGGACACCCGGCGGTCACGGCCATTCCCTCCCCGTGCCATCCACTACTCCCCAACCATCCGCAGCGCCGCCGGCTATTTGCCAGTAATTCCCAACGCCACCAGCTGCTTCCAATGCCACTGTGTATTTGCAAATGATCTCCAATTCCATAGGGAATTATGCAAATAATTTCCAAATATGCAAATAATTCCAATTATGCAAATAATTTCCAATTCCATAGACTGCTTCCAAATAGTTCTCAAGACCATAGGCTATTTGCAAATAATTTCCAATGCCATGGGCTAATTGCAAATAATTTCCAATGCAACCAGCTATCTGCAAATAATTTCCAATGTCATAGGCTATTTGCCAACATTTTCCAATGCCATTGGCTATTTGCCAATAATTTCCAATGCTATCAGCTACTTCCAAATAATTTCCCTGCCACAGGCTACTTCCCAATAGTTTGCAAGGCCATAGGCTATTTGCAAAGAATTTCCAGTGCCATAGGCTCCTTCCCAACTAATTTCCAATGCTATTGGCTATTTCCAAATAATTTCCAAGGTCATCACCTCTTTCCCAATAGTTTGCAAGACCACAGGCTGTTTGCAAAGGACTTCCTAGTACACTCAGCACATTCCTTGCATGGGTTATACCTGCACAGCAAGGTGGTGGCAGGGGACAAGCTGCAATTGCAATGACACAGGGCCAGGAACGCTCCGCACGCATCCCCTGCCTTGCTTGTTCTAAGAGAAAAGATGACTTGTCCTTTTTCTGGAGCAATCCTGGTGACCCAAAATGACAAAATCCACACAGAAAAGCCTGCACGTTCAAACCACCTTAGAGCAACACGAGCCCTCGGCGCGATCCGAATGCACCGATAACCGCACGCCAGGGTGTTCACTGGCCGTCGCATCTTGCTGGACCGCTCAGGTCCAACGAAACGCCGTGACTCTTCACCGAATGTACACAAATGCTGTGAGCAAGGTGGAATGCATAAAAGAATATACCCCCAAGTTGTTTCTTTCAAGAATTTTACGACCCCAGCGTTTGCCTCTTTTGGAAGGGACGCGTTCTCGCGTGGCAGGGCGTTTGCTCCTCCTCAACCCCCAGTCTTGCCTCTTCATCCCTGCATTTCCTGCAAGCGGCGCATTTCCAGGGGCCGGGGCACAGCCAGGAAGCACCCGGGGGTATCCGGAAACGGAGTCGCCCGGCTGCATTCCCGAGCCGGGAATAGCTCCGCGTCCTGCCATTGAAGCCAGGTGCGCGGGATGCGGACGGGCAGGAAAGGGCCCGTGGATGCAGAGCTCCGCGGCGGCTCCGGAGCAGGTCGGAGAGCCGGGCCGGGCTCGGCGGCTCCGCGCGGGGCCCTGCTGCTCTTCACGTATTTATCCCCGCGGGCTCCGTCCCCGCAGGGTTTTGTCCCCGCACAAACATCCTGTTTCCTGGCGCAGCCGCTCGGGACGGGGGGTTGCAGACGGACGGAGTGGAGGGAGGGCTCCATGTGCACAATGAAGCAGTTTGGACCCGCTTTCTCTGCACGTATTTGAAAGAAGACAAAAGTTGCATTTGCTCCCTCCAACCTGAACTGAAACCCTCTGCTTAATGCCCCTTTTGGCAGCAATGCAACAAGTGTCGCCAAAGCGAAGCAACCGGCATCGCCAAAGTGATGAGTTGGCATCAGCGACAAGGAGAGTCTGGGCTTTTGGCAAACTCTTCCCTCTTTCCTTTAAAAATAATTTGCACAGTTCTGGTGCCAATTTTGCCAAAGATCTGGTTTTCTTTGGAGCCCCTGGTTTCCACCACAGATGCTATATTCCCTACAAACACAACTTCTCCTAACAAAAAGGGAAAAAAACCCAAATGTGCAACGAAGGCCCTTGCTAAAGCACTGCACCCAGTGCTTGGCTGCCCGGCGCGCGTGCGGTTTGCAGCACCTTGCAAGGCTCCAAGTTATTTTGCAGCACGTTTGCAGCCCTGCGATGCATAATCCTCAGGAAACTTGCCCTTTGAGCAATTCTCTACATTTGCTGACAGTAATGGGCATTTTATTTTTCTATAACCTTGCTCTCAATGGCTCAGAGATATTAAGAAAATGCGATTGATTTACTGGAGTTGTTTCCCTCCATCTCTGAGAAATGGACTAATGCGCCACCATTTCCAAGATTCATTCTCTTCCTGCATTATTCTTGGACTCCAGTTTTTCCTTTTCATTATAAAACTCCTCCTCCGCCTTTGCTTGAGCGGGCCTTCAATGAAAACCGGCAATGCCATAAAACACTTGCAAGTAAGGCAATAAAATAAACTTCCTCCCCAGTCATGACACTCAGCATCAATATTAAACCTTGGGAAACATACGGCTGCGAGAAGTTCTCCCTTCTGCCCCAGCATTTTGGGAATGGCTGCGTGTTTTAGGGGCACAGCGATGCCGGGCGCCACGGCCGCCTTTGCCCCCGCATTGTGCTCGTGCTGTTGCCCAAAACCCCGGCAAAGAAAAAGCAAAACCAGCCCTTTGGCAAAGGACAGACAGCAGAGGAGGGACAGACGGCCGGCGGGACCGCGGGATGTAGGGCAGGCGGCGGGCGGCTTTCCAGCGCGCGGGATTAAGGCGGCGATGCCGAAGGGAGACGTGTCCCGGCTTGGGGACACCGGTGGCTTCCCAGCGGGATGGATGGACGGACAGACAGCAGGACAGCGAGCTGCCCCCCTGCGCCGCTTCCCTGGAAGCTGCTTGGCTGGAGAGAAGGGAGCCCAGCCCCCGGCTTGGACCCTTTCCTGGCGTCCTGGCAGCTCCCGATCCCGCCGGCAGCAGCCGGGCGCAGCGCTCGGCTCCATGTGTTTATTTTTAAATGCATCTTTTCAAGCATCGGGAGCCTTGGCAACAGCCGCGGGCAGAGCGAAGGAGAAGCAGCCGCAGCCAGGCTGCAATCCCTCCGTAATCCATACGTCCTATAAATAGGCCTTTAACCTGCCCGGCCACGGGAGCTCGCGGAGAAGCAGCTCCCGCCTGGGCCGCTCCGCGATCCCTGCGCGACGTTTGCAGCATCCATCGGCCTATGGAAGCCAAAGAGGGATATTGCCGGGCTGGGACGCTGCCGGGAGCAGGGAGCACTGGGACACTTGCAGAGCATCGTCCGCCTGCGCTGCGGAGCTGCAGGGCATCGTGTGGATGGACCCCAGCCCCAGCCCGGCTCCAAATTCAACAGCTATATTTTGATAAGGTCCCCAGGGCGGCCCAAATTAGCCATCCGATGCTTATTGTTCCGTGCACGCGAGATTAGAGCCGGAGCAAATGCTGATTTTAATCTCCTCAGCACGGCTAATGCTCGGCTGCTTCTCAATTCAACCTTGAAAATGGCTTTTGTTCACATTAATGGCTTTCGTGCTAACGAGCCTTCAGCGAGATTTAACGTTTCGGCACATCCTGCGCTTTGTTTTCCTAAGCAGCCCAATGTTTTGGGGATGGGAAGGTCCCTCTTAGCCCCGTCACTCTGCAGCAAGTTTGGGCCATCCCCTTGGCCCTCTAATTCCCGACGTGGCCGAGGCCCCCAGCTGCATTTGCAGCTGTAACGTGGCCTTAAAAGCAGAGGCTCAAGTGCAACCTGCAGCTGCTTGGCCGTGCAGAGGGGCCTGGGGAGCAACGTGGCTTGCAAGCAGCGTGCATGGTTTGCAAGCAGGAGAATGACCGGGATCCTTGCAAAAGACCCCGAGCCGTCCAGGGAGCGATGCTATTCGGGAATTAAAGAGGATCTTGCAGGATATCAGAGGAGCTGCTGCTCCCAAGGAGGAAAACACAGCAGGACAAGCCATAGGCATCGCCTTCTTGCCATGCTGGAGCCGACGGTGCTGCCGGCACAATCACGGATCTTTCCAAGGACATATCAGGCAGCCAGAGCCAGTCCTGGAAGGAAACGCCTGGGATTTCTCCCACGTTTCACTTTTCCAGAGCTTCTGCTCGGCCTTTGCCCATGGGGTTTCACCCTCTCCGCATCTTCTTACAATAACGTTTCTTTTGGGGCAAAACTGCTGCCGGTGAGAGCCCTGCGCAGTGCTTATTTCCAAGCCTCTCCCAGCTGAGGGGCAAAACTTTTTTCCAAAAGAGAAGAAGAAGGAAAAAAAAAAAAAGGAAGTCAGGAAGAAAAACAAGTTCTTTCTTCTAAATACTCCATCCGGCTTCCTGGCCAGAGAGGGGCAGCCCCAGCGCTTCCCTCTGCCCGGGCTGTGGATCGGGAGCAGCTCCGGGCACCTTCGCAAGGCCTCGGCCTCTGCAAATGTCCCCACGGAGCCGTGGGGCCCAAAGCGGCCCCAGAGCAAAGTGCTTGGATGAAAACAGTTTGCAGGGGGTGGCAGCAGCTGCAAGCAAAGGAGGGGGCAATGGCCCAAGCAAAGACGGGCCCTCGATGCCATGTTCCTGACCCTGTGCAACAAGGCGCTTCCCAAAAGATGCTCCGAGCGGCGCTGCAAGGTGCCCGTTCGGATGCAACGGCTGTGCATCGATGCCAGAGTCCCCGCTGCACCTTGTCCTGAAAACCTTGTTATAACCACGAATTCCCACGTTTTGTGGGTTTGGGAGTCCCTGCAAGACCAGGTGAGAGTCTCAGGGTATTTAAAGCCAGCAAATGGGGCCCGGCGTGAACAAGCCCCCATTGACCGAGGGCGATGCCGAGGCCGCATCGCGGTGCCTGGCACGGCCGCGAGCTCCCGCGCACAGACGCGCTATTATTCCCCGGGGAGGTTGGAGCCGCTGTTGTGCACCGGGAGCAGGAGCTCCCGGCCCTGCCGTCGGGATGGGATGGGATGTGGCCCCATCCGTGCATCGCTCTGACACCAGGATCCTGCCCCTTGGGTCCTTTCCGCTAGCAAATGCGGCGGCGTTTTCCAGGGCTCCAGCCGGGCTTTGCAGCGAGCAGGTCTCCCCACATGGGATTTTCCAGTGCACCTCGTCCCTTGCATCCCTGCCATCGGCTGGACTCGCATCCCAAGGGTTTGCCCCAGTTTCCCAAGAAATCTCCCAGCCGTCAGGGCCTGGCAGAGGAGCTGCCCACATCCCGGCCATACCTCAGAGCTTTCCCAGGACAGCTTCTCCCAAGGCAGCATTTTCCCAAGATGCCAACTCCTAAGGCCCCCTTTCCCGAGGACTCCTGCTCCCGAGGCAGCATTTTCCAAGGACACCAGTTCCCAAGGCCCCGATTCCCCAATTTGCCTACTCCTGTGGCGCTGATTCCCTGGGATATTTGCTCCTGAGGCAGCGTTTTCCTAGAACACCTGCTCCAAGGCAGCATTTTCCAAGGACGCCAATTCCTAGGGCCCTGATTCCCCAGTTTGCCTGCTCCCGAGGCAGCTCCGCTCGCAGCTGAACAAAGACATGAGGGATTTAGGGCGCTGCGCTGGGTCCCTTCCAGCCCCGGAGTGCTCCGACTCCCCGGCGCGGGGGGACCGGAGCAGCTGGCTCCGTCACGTCCATTTTGCCGGCTGCCAGATTTGGGTAATTACACCCTGACTTGGGAGATAGGAATCCGGGATTCGGCAGTGGCGAGCTTGCGGGTAATGAATTGAACAATTCATCATTTGATAAAATTTCCATGAAAAGAAGGAAGGGGGGGAGGAAACAGAGCGCCCCGGCGCTGCATTTTGCACAGTATGAATTACAGCCCGCTGGCTGCAAACAGACCATATTGGAGCGACAGATTAACGCTGCACTCGCTCAGAATTAACACCCTTTCTCGAGGCACCGGCCGACGAGCTGCCTTGGACGAGGCGGGCGCTTGCCAGAACGAGGAGCTGCCATTCCCGGGATCGGAGCTGCCATTCCTGGGATTGGAGCTGCCCCCGAGCTTGCCCCTCATCCCGGCAATCCCGGACGGGATGAGGAGGAGCCGAGGCTGGCGCTGCCTAAGAAAGGGAGCTTGTTCTGCGCGTTATTAGCAATTCTCTATGGGCAGCCTTGTTTCCCCTCCGTGCAGCTGGTGCCAACGCGGTGCCGATCCTGCGCCCAGCTGCTGCGGGCCCTGCTGGATGCAACTGCAAATCCGCCCGCCCCGGGGGCTCCGAGGCTTTGGGAATATCCAGGGCCGGTTTGCAAACATCAGAGCATGCACGGCGTTACATCCAAGTCATTTTTAGGGAAATGCATAGAGACTTCACCCAGTGCAGCCTGTTCTGCAGGAGCGGAGCCAACGCGCTGCCCAAAGCCCCTTTTCTGTGCGGTCGCTTTGCAGGACACCACGGCCTCCCAGCCAGCTCGGTATCGATGGATCCAGCAGCAGCTTTTCCATGGGGTCAGCATTTCCTCCGCACACTTTAAACCTGCCCTTAGCGAGCGCATGAAG